GCGTCTCCTGGCCACGGTTGTCACTGACCCTTCTTTTGAGTCCACTGCTGCGTCTGCCTTAGTTGCTGAGCTTGTCGACTTCGCTGCTCACTGTCGTCTAGACTACGCTGCTAGTCTTGTCGCTGAGTCTGAGTCTGTCTGTCCTCCGTCCGTCGGGGGTGAGTGTGCTCTTGGCACGGACGTCCTTGAGGACAGGCAGGAGGAGTTCCAGTGCTTTGCTGCTGCTTTACCTCATCTCGTGTCCATGCTGCTTGCCCCTGAGGGAGACCTGGATGCACCAGACATCCCGACTCCGCGCTCTTATGCGGAGGCGGTAGAGGGTCCCTAATCCTCTCAGTGGCAGACAGCCATGGACGCAGAGATGGCTTCCTGGAAGTCCACAGGCACCTACGTTGACGAGGTTCCCCCGCCTGGGGCGAACATCGTCAGTGGCATGTGGATCTTCAGGGTGAAGCGGCCGCCGGGTTCTCCGCCTGTCTTCAAGGCGCGCTACGTGGCTCGAGGCTTCAGTCAGCGGCAGGGAGTTGACTACTTTCAGACCTTCTCTCCCACCCCGAAGATGACCACTCTTCGAGTGCTGCTGCACATAGCCGCTCAGCGGGACTACGAGCTTCACTCTCTTGACTTCAGCACTGCTTTCCTACAGGGCAGCCTGCACGAGGAGATCTGGCTGCGCCATCCTCCTGGCTTCACTGGGTCGTTTCCTCCTGGTACCCAGTGGAGCCTCCGACTTCCAGTCTACGGTCTCCGCCAGGCTCCCCGCGAGTGGCACGACACACTAAGGACTACTCTAGCGGCTCTTGGGTTTGCTCCTTCTACTGCTGACCCGTCGCTGTTTCTGCGCACCGACACCTCGCTGCCGCCGTTCTACATCCTCGTGTACGTCGACGACTTGGTCTTTGCAACTGCTGACACTGCTGGACTCGCCCACGTGAAGTCGGAGCTACAGAAGAGACACACGTGCACAGACCTGGGTGAACTGCGCAGCTATCTTGGCTTGCAGATCACCCGGGACAGAGCACGCCGCACCATTACCCTAACTCAGTCACACATGGTGCAGCAGGTCCTTCAGCGCTTCAACTTCACGTACTCCTCGCCTCAGGCCACTCCTCTGTCTACACGCCACTCGCTCTCAGCTCTGCCTTCGGATGAGTCCGTAGAGCCGAGTGGCCTGTGCCCAGAGCTTGTTGGCTGCCTCATGTACCTGATGACCTGCATGCGTCCTGACCTAGCATACCCTCTTAGCATCTTGGCACGCTATGTTGCTCCTGGGAGACACCGACCAGAGCACATGGCTGCAGCAAAGAGGGTGTTGCGCTACTTGTGCAGTACGTCGGGCATGGGGCTTGTGCTTGGAGGGCAGAGTCCAGTGGTCCTCACTGGTCACGCAGACGCTTCTTGGGCTGACGACTTGGCCACGCAGCGGTCGTCACAGGGTTACACCTTCAGCCTTGGTTTCAGCTCTGTTTCGTGGCGGTCTACCCGCTCGTCTTCTGTTCTTGGCTCCAGCTGTGAGGCCGAGATCTACGCAGGGGCCATGGCTGCACAGGAGTTACGCTGGCTCACCTACCTGCTGACCGACCTGGGAGAGCCGCCTCGTTCTCCTCCAGTTCTGTACGTAGACAACAAGGCCATGCTGGCCTTGTGTCGGGAGCACAGACTGGAGCACAGAACGAAGCACATTGCTCTTCGCTACTTCCTTGCTCGTGAGCTGCAGCAGCGTGGTCAGCTGCGCCTTGCTTACGTGGCCTCTCAGGCCAACACTGCTGATATCTTTACCAAGGCACTCCAGCCTTGTGATCATCAGCGCTTTTGTACGATGCTAGGTCTTGTGCCTACTTGGCCTCACTTGCTCACTTCTTGACCTAGCTTGTACTGTGATCTATATATACCTGCACTTGCTTGTTTACCTTTATATATATGATCCTGCATGTGAACTGGCCTTGTGGCCTTGAACCTGTGCTCGGAATATGTGGTGACGTTGTGATCCACCCTGAGCTTGCTTTGCTTTGCTTTGCTTGACTGGTCTTGTGACCCCTTGTTCTCCCCCACTTTGCCTTTGGGGGTGTGTCAAACTCATATGCTATAGTCTATCTAGGCTGTAGTGGGGTAGACACTATAGGGTACAACACTTCTAGGTTTCCTACTTGTACCCCCCTTGTTCCCTAGTCAAACCATTCCTTGTTCTTATTTTCACAGTGGGAAGGTTGGATACAAGTACAAACCCTAGAATGTGTTGTACCCCATATGTGCTACCCCACTATAGCCTACATAGGCTAAGTCATATAAATCTGACAAAAAGAAGGGTTTAATAATTGTTTTATCGCCATTTTGAAGAAATAAGCGTGTCAGAGAGCTTCTATATTTTTTTGTTTTGTTTTGGGGCCAGATATTACGAGATTGGTTTTGCGAGGGTCTTCCATTGGGCATTGACATTGTGGTGGAACCCTGATTACGCATATCCTTTTATACACGTCGTAGCAAGGCAGCAGAATGATTGAAATGGTGGCAAGGGTTTTGCGATAATATCGTCAATCGGTCTCTGTTTGGGTAATGACGCAGTTGTTGAACCCTGAGTAGGAGCATGGGATATTGGCTTGTCGTTTTATTCGTGTCGCAGCAAGCCAGCAATTTTCTCACTGAATGCCAGAACTGACGACTTCTCACCCAAATGCCTGAACCACGCGGACCCACGCGGACCATGCGGACCCATGTGGCCCTACGCGGACCTACGCGGACCCAGGCGGACCTACTGTGTGAAAATTCAATCAGAAAAAACTGCTCTACCCCACCTCAAGCTCCTGCTACCCCATCCTACCCAACCCTACACACTCCCCACTCTTCCGCTCAACTCGGGGCATTTGTAATCTCAGCACAAATCGATAAAGTCACAGGCACAGCAAAGCTTCGCACCAAGTACAAACGATACGAGGCCAAGCTTGTGACGTGGCCTACTTTCGCACTCCCACCCCACCTCCGCATCTCCTTCCTAGAATCACGCAGGGATTAGAAGGTGAATATTCTAATCTAGCTCCATACCAAACACTAGCAGTACGAGGCAAAGCGACTTAACTCGCCCTATTCTCCTTAACCCCCACGCACTCCCCCCCACATTTGCCACTCCCCAGGGTACAGGCGGCAACACCAAGGTGATCGGCCTGACCAAGCTGCGCGCCAAGAGTTGTTATAACTGAAGGATCGTAGTGGACAGGATAAGCCTTGCTAGGTATGTAAGAGAACCATGAAGTCTCTGTAATGACCTTGTTGATGAGGTTTTGAAAGAACAAGATGATTATAAGATAGGAGTACAAGAATATAAATATGTCAGAATGTTATTCTCTAGCCTGTAGTGGGGTGCTCTATAGCGAGTAGAACCCATCTAGGGTTTGCTATATGTATCCTCATTGCTGCTAGTGAAACTCACCTTCTTCTCCTATTTCTCTTTCATATAACCTAAAACCTAGCTATGGCTTCTTAGCTTAAGCTCCTATCTTCACATGGTATCAGAGCGGTCTCGGGTTCGAATCCCGGTGTATGCACATGTTGGCCATTGCCACTGTGCTCAATCCTGGGCCTCCCAGTGTGGGGGGGTGTCAGTAGAGCTACACTGTGAGATCCCCGATCGATCCTTGGGGGGGTTACAGGCGCGTTTGCCTGGGGGGTTATGGGCGCACTGACCCGCTACTGAAACAAGCCCTTTTATCCCAATGGTCTAGTGGTTGGGATTCTGACATGGTATCAGAGCTGTTACGCTCTTGGCCTGTGAGCCCATCTGCTTCCGCTGCTACTACTCTGCCTAACGCGCGCCTCGAGCGCGCGCCTGCCTGCCGCGTGCCTATGGCGCGCGGCCCTTTTTTCTTCCCGCCGCGCGCTCGTGGCGCGCGGCGGTTTTCTGACCGTCGGGCGCCCCGTGGCGCGCGGCGGTGCCTCGCCCCGGCCCTGCCCCGTCGCCCGCCGCGGCTCTGTCGCGGCCCCACGTCGCGGCCCCCCCCGTCGCGACCCCCCGTCGCGGCTCCCGTCGCGGCCCCCCGTCGCGCCCTCTCGTCGCCCGACGCCGCCCCGTCGCGGCCCTGTCGCGGCGCCGCCCCGGCCCTGCCCCGTCGCCCGCCGCGACTTTGTCGCGGCCCCGTTGCGGCCCCGTCGCGGCCCTGCCCCGACGCCTGTCGCGGCCTCGTCTCGGCCCCGTCGCGGCCCCGCCCTGGCCCTTTTCCCGTCGCCTGTCGAGGCGACCTGAGGGGGCCGCGCGCGGCCCCCTCAGGTCGCCTCGACAGGCGACGGGAGGGGCAACTTGGGGGGGCCCGCGCGTCGCCCCTTCTGCCGCCTGCTCTGGCGCCCGGGGGCAGGACCGCGCCTCGGCTCCTCCTTTCTTCGTCGCGGCCCTACCCCCCCCCCCCCCCCTCCCCCCCGTGCATTCCGTGGTGCTGGGGGTGTGGGGTGCAGAGCGTGGGGGTGGCGGGTGTGGGGGTGGCGGTTATGTGTTCCTCCCCTTGCTCCTCCTCCTCCCTTGACTCCCACTGCTGCAGCTGTCGCTGAGGGGGGTGGGTGTGTGGGAGCCTAGGGTTTAGGGCTTAAAGGGGGTGCTGTGGGAGTGGAGCTAGGGTTTGAACAGGGGGTGTGTGAGAGGGGAGTGGGGCAGTTGGAGGAGGTTGTGTGAAGGTAGCTGTCTTGTCGCCTGCAGCGCCTGTAGTCCGTCGCCCTTGCTTCGGTAGCCAGTGAGCCTGTTGCACCAGTCGCCAGTGGGTCCGTTGCTCCTGCCGCTCGTCTATAGCCGCGGAGCCAGTCACTCCAGTAGTCCGTCGCCCTTGCTTCGGTAGCCTCTGAGTCAGCCGCTCATGTGCCCGTGCCTCTGCAGCTTCAGTCGTTGCCTCCCATCTTCTCTCCCTCCACAGTCTCTCCTCCTCCTCACTTGCCCTCTGTGATTAGCTCTAACTTTGCTTACCTTTGTGAACTCCTGCTCTATACCTGCTTGCTCATTGTACTGATTACACCCCACTTTGGCTATGGGGGTGTGTCAGAATGTTATTCTCTAGCCTGTAGTGGGGTGCTCTATAGCGAGTAGAACCCATCTAGGGTTTGCTATATGTATCCTCATTGCTGCTAGTGAAACTCACCTTCTTCTCCTATTTCTCTTTCATATAACCTAAAACCTAGCTATGGCTTCTTAGCTTAAGCTCCTATCTTCACAAAATAGCAATCCTAGCTAGCCATGTACTCTGAGGGGTACATTCCCTTATTATCTGAATTACATTGCTACAGTAACCACGCCTATTGCCATTCTTGACAGTTACCACGTTGCATCTCGTAACTGCCTCGTGCGGTTACTGGTCAGTCAAGGGTCACGACCATTGACTGTCTTCGACTGTTGACCTTCGGGTGACCCTCGACCTTTCGCGTACTCTATATGAGCTATTGCGGTACTGATACAGGCGCTTACTTCGTTATGAAGTGACGCGAGAGTGGAGGACCTTCGGGAATGCTTACGATAACCTTTCGGTTATTCCAAACCAAGTACAAGCAGTACGAGAGCATGTGCCTTAACATGCCTTAAATCCCCTCCCACCCCTCTCCTCCTACCCCATATTCACTCCCCAGGGTTCAGCAGGGGTCACAAAGGTGGTCAGCCTGACCAAGCTGTCCGCCAAGTACAAGCAGTACAAGGCGAAGCCCCTTCACATGTCGTTTTCTCCCTACCCCCCCTTCCCCCCTCCTCCACACCGCCACCTTCACTCCCCAGGGTTCAGAAGGGATCACCAAGGTGATCGGTCTCACCAAGCTACGCACCAAGTACAAGCAGTACGAGTCCAAGCAACAACTACTCGACATAATCCACCAGCTTCCCCCCCTTATTGGCACGAAGTTCCTCTGGAGGAAGAACCGCCAACCAACCACACGCAGTACGATGCCAAGCACCTCAACATGCCTTATTCTCCATTCCCCCTACCTTCCCCCCCCCCGCCCCCCCCCCTCTTCTTCACCTACCATTTCTCAGGGTTCAGCAGGGGTCACCAAGGTGATTGGCTTAACGAAGCTACGCACCAAGTACCAGCAGTACGAGTCCAAGCGGCAGCTACTCGGCTCCTATGACCTCATCCTAGACGATATTGACATCATCCACCAGCTTCCACCACTTATTGGCACAAATTTCTTCAAAAAGAAGAAGCACCCGATCCCTGTGAAGCTCGGGGGGAAGGACTGGGCGAAGCGTGTAAGAGAGGCATGCGATAGCACGTACTTGTATGTGAGTGGGGGCATGTCGATGAGCGTGCGGGCGGCGAGGTTTGGCATGAGTGAGGAGAAGATTGTGGGGAACGTGATGGCTGTGGTGGCGGGGGCGGTGGAGCATGTGCCGAAGAAATGGAAGAATGCGAGCTCGTTGCATATACGCGCCACGGATTCGCTCGCTCTGCCGATCTACATGGCAGAGGTTGATTTGCCGACGAAAACGGCTGTTAAGGTGGTTGGACGGAAAGGGGATGAGGAGGGAGTGGAGAGGGAGGAGGGAGAAGGGAGGAGGGGATAAGGAGGTGGGGAAGGGGAAGAGGAGAGGAGGGAGCACAGAGGGCAAAGTGGCAGTTGTAAAGGCCAAGAAGCCGAAAGTAGTGAAGATGAGGCTGTCGACTTGAAGGGCTTTGGTGGCAAATTTGTCCGGGAATAGTAAGATCATGAATGTTCATGTATCAAATGTTTCATTTAGACGATTATGAAATAGCCGTAGGTGAAAAGTTTGAGTTTAGTTTGGCTTCAACTCTGTTGAGCCACACTTCTCATCTTGCCAACACACCCTTTATCGGGTACAATCTCACGTGGAGCGACCAGTTGTTCCGGTAACCCTTCTCGCGGAAGCTCGCATGGGGGGCTGGGGTTGCTGTTTCTGGAATTTCGCCATCCATCCGCTCCATGTTCGATCAACTCCACCCTTCATTCTCATTCATTTGCATTCGCTTTCGCTATTTTCCAGGTTTCCGCTGCATGCACTGATTAGCTGTGCATGTCGCCGCATCTCCCAGCGTCCCTCGCGCCACGTCCTGGCTGTTCTGGGGACGAGGCTCAATGGCTTCATATCCTATGCCTACCGGCGTAGGCTGTAAAGTGTGTGTTTTGTTTTCCCGCGGTTCCTGATCCCACATAGTTTTCTCCTATGGTGGGTCTGATTTCCGGCTGTCGTGGCGCGAGGTTGGTGTTGCGTGTAGAGTCGACATGAACTCACGCCAGCGAACCTACGAACTCCAGACCTCTCCCACCAAGGTCGGAATTCAACGATTTCTTAACTTGCTTCGCGGTCGTTCTTCTTTCTCCAGTTTCTGTGTCATGCGCGGCATCGTCAATCGCCCTATTTTGCCCTTGACTTCCGTGATGCCTTTTTTCTCTCTCTCTCTCTCCTGGCCTCGAGTTGACCCGCAGGCGTTGAGCAGGATGGAGGTACCGGCCCTGCGCGCGTGTCTGAGGTGTCGCACGCTCATCATTCACCACGAGGGCTGCAAGTACGTCACATGCCAGTGCGGCGCCACCTTCTGCTTCGCTTGCTTGCAGCCGTGGGATGAGTGCAACACTGACCATAGCGGGCCCTGCGCTGCGCCAGTTGCACCCCGCCAGGGTTAATTTCTGCTCTGGGGTGAAACAAAGCGAGGTGAAGGCAAAAAACTACCGCAGTAGGTTAGGACATTGTTTGTAGGTGTTGTTGAGGCTTGTGCAGTCTACAGGAGGTGCACGATGTGAGCTGGCATTGCAGTTTGCTTTGTGTAATTCATAAACAATGCAGTCCTCAAAACGTTAAAAAAATATGTAATTACTCATAGATATACTTGAAAGTAGCTTCTGCATTATGCTAACAATTAAAATTTTGTTCTAGAAATGTCATTGCTAATTTCATTATTTTTTTCAGACAGAAGGCCTTTACACCAAGTTGCTTGCGCTAGCGAGGTTGGGGGTGTAGGCCATTCTGGAAAACCATCTTTAGCGCGTACGATTTTTCAGCCTTTAAGTGTTTGCTTCAGCGCCACATTGGTTGGATTGTGTGCTTTCGCTTCATCCCAGGTATCACCAGGCCGTGGTTTGCCATTCACGCGCTCCAAGCCTTCCCTAGGAAACCATTTTTTTGACATGTCGATGTCGCCAATGGCTTCCACTCGAAGTGGTCGAGGCTCTCAGCCTCCAGATTATGCATCCTATTCCTAATTCTGGAAGCGTATTTTAACCCGCGAATGCCCTGTATTCTGTGATTAACTCGCTGTCATGGTGTTGTCTCAGCTGCATTTCCTTGCGGACGTCTCTTAGCGCCTGGTCTTGCAGGAAGAGAGCGTCAGCATGAATTCAAGGCAAAGAACATACGAGCTTCAGACTTCGCCCACTAAGGTTGGGAGAACACATTATGTTTTATTTATCTCGAATTCACTTATTTCTCTTCCTTGTAATTTTTAGCGGTCTTTTGGCTCTTACAATAGCAACGGTCCTGCTTCCTTTCCCTTGCTCGCAGGTGCTTAGCAGGATGGAGGTACCCGTTCTCCGTGCGTGCGTGAGTTGTCGCACACTTATTATTCATCAGGAGGGCTGCAAGTCCATCACATGCACGTGTGGCTCCACCTTCTGCTTTGCTTGCCTCAGACCGTTGGATGTGTGTGGCACTGACTATTGCGGACCTTGTAACGTGCCTGTTGCCCCACGACAGGGGTAGTTCCAGCTCTTAAGGTAAGTTGTCCCCTTCCCATCTCAAATGAAGTACTTGCATTCATGTGTTTGAATGTTCTAGCATCTCAATCAGCATCAGTCTGACTTTCTTCCTGACTACAGAGTCATCGTTTGCCTTCGTTTATGCCAGCCATACCGTCCGTTATGTATGGTAATGTTGAAATTTAGGGCGACATCAGGTTGCACATTTCTAGCACGTTCACATTACAGTTTCGCACGGTGAAAAGCGGTTTTCACTGTTTTTCACCGTGACGAAACCAAGTTGACCACAGTAAGCGTACAGATGTTGTGCAACCTGACGTAGCCCTTAGTGCAGATTGTTTCTGTACCGTTTGTCCAAATCTTTGCCCTCCTCCATTGTGCACTTGTGTGCAGAACGAGGACTAGCAGCATAGTCAAGTATCGATCAAGAACATTCAAACGGAGCTAGACGATTGAAGACATTGTGTCCGCTGGAATAACAGGGGTTAGTTTTTTCTTTGTGGATTGCATGAAGCATTGTTGTGCAGAGTGAGCTTGAAATTGTACAATGTCCTTCCAACGACGGAAACGTTCTTTAGAGGGTACTGGTCGCACAACAAGTTTCGTCCAAGTCCGATGTGCCAAGTGGATTCGTAGAGTTTGGCAGACGCTGATTGGGCAAACTACATTCATTTTACTATATAATTGGTCAGTTAGACATTAGGCTAATTACAACGTGGCTCGGATCTGTTACTCCGAATCCTGATTCGTCCAATTAAAGCCGGTAGCCCAAATTGCACAACCTTTAAAAGGCTGACGCGAGGGGGTTTTGTGGTCTGGGTTTAGGCGAAAAAAATCCGAATTCGTTTCTTTCGTTGTTTTCGCCAAAGCCAGCCCCCCTCGTATTCCGCCCTGGGGGTTCGTTCAGTTCCCGAAGTCCCAAATTGCAGGCTCGTTTTTTTTCAAAGCTTGCTAACACTAGTTCGTCAAGTTTTAAAAGGTTGACCCGCGCGGCCCGCAATTTGGGCCGCGGGCTTTAAAGCCCGGGTACAGCATGGTAATTTTCAAGTTCAAGATTCTTGAACTTGAAATCGCAAAAAACAGGGTTACCCTACTTGTTTTGAAGAAACTCTCGCAACCCCAGGCAATCGTCCTGCGACAACGGAACCCGAGTGCCCAAAAACAGAACTGACGCGATGATCGCCAACCATATGCACTGTTCACCACTCACATAACTTGCTTACCAAGTCGTACTCATAGATTAGGAGGCTCCAAGGCAAAAACTAGCGCTAGTTGGCAAAAGCGAGTCGTTGTTAGGGCTTTTTTTTGTGCGGAAAAAAAAAATAGGTATCCACATCAACCATCTTAGTCAGTGCACGCTCCGATTTCCCCCTCACGTCGCCGGTCTCGTGTTACAACCCGTTCACCCGCAGCACTTACGTTAGTGAACAATCGTCGCGTTACTCGCGCCTTGCTTTCAAGCTCGCGTCGCATAAGATGTTCTTTTCACACTTGCTGTGGTTCAGCCTCGCGTCCCGATTTTACCGTTTTAGGCACGGGTCGCTCACGCGAATGCCGTACAGGTTCGCCAGACGCGCGCTGCCGTTAGTCTCAAATGTTCCCCCTCGTCGGCCGCTCTTTTCCACGTCATACCGCTTTCCTCGTCGCCCGCAATTTCCCTCATCTCCCTCGCCGACCCTCGCCGCCCTCGCCTCTGCTTGTCGCCCGCGCTTCCCGTCGTCGCCCTTGCTTCCCCGTCACCCGTGCTTCCCGTCGTCGCCCTTGCTCTCCCGTCACCCGCGCTTCCCGTCGTCGCCCTTGCTTCCCCGTCACCCGCGCTTGTTCTCATCTCTCGCTCTCCTCCTCAACGTCTTCGTTTCCCTCGTCGCCATAACGCCCTCGCTTCTGCCCGTCGCCCTCGCCTCCCCACATACCCGCCTCCATCTCCCCCACATACCACCCGCCTTCCTCCCCACATTCTATTCCGCTTGTCATACGCTCTTCTCCTCTTCCTCCCTTCCATCTCTCCCTCCCTCCCTCTCCCTCTCTCTATCTCTCTTTCTTCGAACCTCTCTCTCACCCTTTCTTCCACCCTTCTTCCTCCTGAGGGGAAGGGACTGAATGAGAGACACAGAGGGGATAGGACAGAAGGGTATGCAGATGTTCTTTTCCCCCACGCGCTTCCCCTCATCGCCCTCACTTCCCCCAAATTGTTGCCCCCTGTCTCTGTTTTTCCCAACCACCCGTTCTCCCACCAGCCCTGCTTCCCCCTTTGCCCTGATTCCTTCCACCCTCTGCCCTGCTCCCCCCCATCCCCTTCCCTGCTTCCCCCCACCCTCTGCCCTGCTCCCCCCATCCCGTTCCCTGCTTCCCCCCACCCTCTGCCCTGCTCCCCCCCATCCCCTTCCCTGCTCCCCCCCACCCTCTGCCCTGCTTCCCCTCATCCCATTCCCTGCTTCTCCCCACCCCCTGCCCTGCTTCTCCCCATCCCCTTCCCTGCTTCCCCCCATCCCCTTCCCTGCTTCCCCCCATCCCCTTCCCTGCTTCCCCCCATCCCCTTCCCTGCTTCTCCCCATCCGCTTCCCTGCTTCCCCCCCTCTTTTGCTGCTTCCCCCTACCCTCTGCCCTGCTCCCCCCCATCCCCTTCCCTGCTTCCCCCCATCCCCTTCCCTGCTTCTCCCCATCCCCTTCCCTGCTTCCCCCATCCCCTTCCCTGCTTCCCCCCATCCCCTTCCCTGCTTCCCCCCATCCCCTTCCCTGCTTCCCCCCATCCCCTTCCCTGCTTCTCCCCATCCGCTTCCCTGCTTCCCCCCCTCTTTTGCTGCTTCCCCCTACCCTCTGCCCTGCTCCCCCCCATCCCCTTCCCTGCTTCCCCCCATCCCCTTCCCTGCTTCTCCCCATCCCCTTCCCTGCTTCCCCCCATCCCCTTCCCTGCTTCCCCCCATCCCCTTCCCTGCTTCCCCCCATCCCCTTCCCTGTCTCCGTGTTACCCGTTTCCTTGTCCCTTTTCCCTGTGTCTCCCCACCCTCTGTTTTATTCCTTCACCCTCGCACACCTTACCGCCTGCCGACCTTACCGCCTGCCCACCTTACCACCTCAAATCCTTCCCTTCTCATCCGCGCGCAGGTGTGGCGGAAGGTGCACGTGCTGCCTTGTGCCTGCCGCTTGCTGTCCACGCCTTCCATCCCACCTCTCCCAAACCACGTCTTTTTCTATATGTGCCTCCCCTGCTGGCCCATACCCTCTGCTGATCTGCGCCCTATGAGGCCGTGCCCTCTCTGTTCCCCGCCCCTGCATGTACGGAGGGATTGGGAGCCGCTTTGCCTAGCAGCCAGCACTGTGCAGGCAAGGATTCAAACTGGTGGATCATGGGGCAAGGGTAAGGGAGTGTATTGTGCGGCATGGTCAGTGCGGAGTGGCGTGGGAGGGAGGCAAAATGGCAAGCACAGGGTGAAGGCAGGCAGGGGCCGTGGCAAAAATATGGAGATTGGCAGTGTCAGCAGGATGTGCGGCAGGATGCTGGCGGCAGCGCACGTCAGGGCATGTGCGGTGGGGCAAGGCTGGTCTGCGCTGCGGTGGGCCGGGGGAGTGCAGATTGGTGCAGGGAAAGGCACGACATGTTCCTATGTGGCCGGCCGAGACCCTTATGAGTTGCGGGATCTGAGCTTGAGAGTGTACGCTTGGAAATGTATTGCTAATGTGTTTCTTGATATGTAATTTTCATGATTCACAATTTGCTTTTCTATGCCAATTCAGCACTTGAAAATTTTATGTTATTCTGAAGTGATATCTCAAACTTATCCAAATATTTTAGTCGATTAGTAATCACAGGAAATATTGTTCAGTGTACTGCCTCACTCTTACTCGCGTGAGTTTCGCGTTCCCCACCATTTCAACCCCAAGAGAAGCGCAGTGTGCCCCACCAGTGCTGGGGCAGGAGCAGTGCTCTGTCGCACACTGGGTCGTTCGGCCCTCCCATGTCCTCGGGGACAGCTGTCGCATAGTATCGTGGCGAAGACTGTTTTTCCCGCCTCCTGAATTCGGTTTCGCCCCACACACATTTTCGAAATTCACGATTTTCAGGTTTTCGCCCAACTGTTTCAACCCCACATAACTTGAAAAAATACCATGCTGACCTCGGGCTTTAATTCTCCAGGTTTCGAAGTACGGAACAGTGAATTTCCCACCAAGTGCGAAGTTTTTTCACATGGAATACTCGTGCACCTGGCACTGTGAGGAGGATCTCCGGCGCCGGAAGGAATCGCGTGAAACTGTCAACCACCACAACACTAGGCACCTGGGCTTGTGCCGCAGCGTGCTGACGTCAATCCTTCGTGGAGTGTGCCTCACATCAACGTCAACTGCACGGGTTTCCCGCCAACTTAGGTTAGGCGTGATGCAGTCACTCACAGCCGCATGCGCAGCACTCCGTTCAAGTGGCCCCGTGCCCCGCATCTCTTACCATGCATCTTCGCAAATTACCATGTGGCAGTGGTCTGAGGTTGGGGTGGTTACCGTCTGTCACGCCGCGGTCTGTCGCGCACTTCCAGAACCAGCGGAAACGGACGGAATCCGTCCCGTCGCTGTGCGGCGTCCAAATCAACTGGGCCAGCCCATTGGCTTCAAACCAGCCCCCGTTCCTGACGACCCGACTCGACGCCAGATTCTTCCCCCTCCCGCCCCCCGTTCCCTCCTCCTCCCTCTGTCCGTCAACGACGTCTTGACGGAGCTCCCATTTCCCGCTTCTCTTACCCCTCGCCTGACTCTCTTCCTCCAGTCAACTTCCTAGCCATCTTTCCCTCAGCGCTATGTGCCCCTGCACCGCGAGCCAGAAACCCTAGCAGCCTGTTGGTGTTTCCGTAAAGCCTAGAGCCGAGTGAATCGCCGTTTCTGTTCATCCCAGCTCAGGCCAGTTCACTCAAGCAGATACAAAGGCCTGGTTCTCACTTGGTATGTTATTGACCCGTGCTTCCTTTTTCGTTGGAAGATTATTCTGGAGGGCAAGTTCCCGTCAGTGCTGAGAGCTATTAGCGGGATTTTGCCAACTGTTTTAGCTATTTCCTTACACGCTGTGTCATTGTTGAGAGGTTAGAGAGCGCTATGGTTACGTCTCTCGCCTTCTATTCCAGCTCCTCACCAGGGGCCGTTCTGTCGTCGTCTTCTAAATCTTTCTCGCCTTCTCCTACGGTGTCCGACGCTGATGCGACCAGCGCCTTAGACAACCAGAACAACCGTAAAGGCTCTCGAGGTGGTCTGTCGTCTCTCCTCACCTCGACGAGTCCCAGACATGGCTCTTATGGGTCTTTGCCAAGCTCTGAATTCACGGGAACTTTGGGATCTGGCGCTTTTGGCGGCCAGGAAGGATGTTATTTCGGCAACAGTGTAAATAACGCTAGTTCTTTATCTGACGGTGGTCGGTTTCTTTCTACGGCAGTTAACATTCCGTCTAACAGTTCTAAGCTTAAGCCTCGTCGCTCCAGCCTGTCCGTCAGCACGACGACAACGACCAGAAGCGGCTTCAACACCTCCCTCGCGTCGTCCTTAACATGCAGAAGCGAGCCGCGTCTCTCATCGTCCATTGACGTCAGCAGCAGCACTCGGACACGTCGATTCGCGCCGTTGACAGCACCCGCGCCTGCAGATTCGAAGCCGATTCAGCGCAGCGTCGGCTTCACCGTCAAGGCCTCCGCGTCTGGCGCTTGCGTCGCCCCTGCGCCCTCGTCCGACACCCAAGTCGCCCCGCGTTTCGTGCCGCTAGGAGCGGACGGCAAGCCTGGTCTAGCGTCCATCCAAGATCTCGTAGAGGAGGTGACGTCAGCGTCGTCAGCTGCTCAGTCGACACACTGGCCGGGTCTGGTTACGTCGCTTTCGGGTTCAGTTCCGGGGGTATGGCGCGTAGGGACGGATTCAGGCGCCGAGCTTGTGAACACGACGTTGCTAAGCATGCCAAAGTTGACCGCTCTCCCCAATGGCGGCGTCAGGATGCATGATACCGCGGCTTTCCGCCAGGTGCGGTCTGCCATTGAGATTGGCCGAGATCCGGATGCTCTGTTGTCGGACGACGATTGGTTGAGATACGCGCAGAAGAAGCATGCGGTATTCTACGACCCGCTGGTCAAGCTGGCGTTCCAAGTGGCTGCTGACGCTCACCAAGGCCAGGTAGGTCGTGTAACGATGAACGGCGTTGTTGTTTCCTGCTTTCCTTGCTATAGAGCTGGGGTTCTTCTCTTCTCTGGTCGTATTGCGACCAAATAAGGGTTGAGTGCGTACTAACGTGTCGTGCCCCATAAATTCTTTTGTTTCCTATTCCTTCATTCTTTTCACTTGATCCTCGTTATTGGCAGTTTCGCAAGAGCGGCCAGCCAGTTGTCTCTCACTGCGTGGAGACGGCGCTCATCCTCGCCGGCATCGGCGCCGACAAAGTCGTCGTCGCCGCGGGTCTGCTGCACGACGTCATCGACGACACTGCGACGTCGGAGCAGGACCTGCGCGACATCTTCGGCGACGAGATCGCGTCGCTCGTCGCCGGCGTCAGCAAGCTGAGCCTCGTCTCGCAGCTCACGCGCGACAGCTCGCGACAGCTCACCTCCTGCGAAATCGACAACCTTCGCACGATGTTCGTCGCGATGGCGGACGTTCGCGTGGTCCTTGTGAAGCTCGCGGACCGCATGCACTGCCTGCGCACCATCGACGCGCTCCCCGCGAAAACGCAGCAGCGCATCTCCCGCGAGACGCTGGACGTGTTCGCGCCGCTGGCGAACCGGCTGGGCATCTGGTCGTGGAAGGCGGAGATCGAGGACGCGTGCTTCCGCTGCCTGCACCCGCGCGAGCACGCGGACCTGCTCGCGGAGCTCGACCGCACCAGCAGCGGCGGCGGCGGCGGCGCGAACAGCAGCGGGTTTGCTAGCAGCGTTGCGGGGTGTGCTGGCAGCAGGAGTGCGGGTGGGGCGGAAGAGGGCGGTGCGGGGAGCGGCAGCGGGAGCGGCGGAGGCGGAGAAGCGAGCGTGATGGCGGCGATCCGACGGCTGAGCGCGGCGCTGGAGGCGAAGGGGGTGCAGTTCGAGGACCTGAGCGGGCGGCCGAAGAATCTCTACAGCATCTTCAACAAGATGTCCAAGTAAGCAGCGCGGCTAGTAGCACGCATAATATCACAGTAAACCTAATTCTCCACAATCATTTCCCCACTCTTCTCCCTCCCCGCCCCCACCCCTCCCTCTCCCCCTCCCAATCCTGCGTTCCCCAATCTTCCCCCACCCCGCCCCCACCGCCCCCCCTCCCCATCCCAATCCCGCGCCCCCCCCTCCCGTCCGGCCCCACACCTTCGTCTGTTGCATGCTACCCACCCTTCTTGCCGTTATTGCTCGTCGTGAAAATCCTTTCGCAGGACGGGCAATGGTGTGCGTTTCGTGTTTCTATTCTCCTTCTCATAGCGTCTCCCCCATCTGTCCTGTTCCCCCTTTCCCCAATTTTTTCCGCTGGCTTCCCCCTTTCCTCCCCCCCCCCCCCCACCTCCTCCCCCTTCACGTGTGCCCCGCTTCTCCCCCACCCTGTGCCGCGTCCAACCGTCGCGGTCTTTCACTACACCAGGAAGGGGCGGTCACTTCACGAGATCATGGACGTGCGCGGGCTGCGCCTCATTGCGGCGGACGAGGCGGCGTGCTACGAGGCGCTCGCCGTGGTGCACTCGCTGTGGGCGCCGTGGGCGGGCCGCCACCTCAAGGACTACGTGCGCGTGCCCAAGCCCAACGGCTACCAGTCGATCCACTCGGTGGTGTGCGGTGACGATGGGTTGCCGCTGGAGGTGCAGATCCGCACGCCCGCCATGCACCACCAGGCGGAGTTCGGCGTGGCGGCGCACTGGCGGTATAAGGAAGCGGGGTTCCGTGACAATAACGGGGATAAAGCACTCGGGAAAGAGAAGAGTAGCAGCAGCAGTAGAAAACAGGAGGGTAAAAAGTCATCGTCCCCCCCCTCGTCCTCCTCAGGGCCGTCACCAGCGGTACTGGCGAAGATAGAATGGGTGCGGTACGTTCTGTCGTGGTACAGTGAGATGAGCGACACCAAGCTGCGCCTCTCCCCGCCCTCCAAGCGCCTGTCGCCCTCCTCTCTCTACCTCGCCAGCATGGCCGCCGTCGGATGCGGCGCTCCTGCCACCGTCGCCACTGCCACCGCCGCGTCCTCCCCCTCCTGCTCCCCCTGCTCCTCCCCCTCATGCTCAACCCCAGCCTCCTGCTCCCCTTCGGGCTCATATCCGACTCACTGTATGGGTTCTGGCGCGTGTGGGAGTGCCGCTGCTGCTGGTGCTGCATGCGGCACTGACTGTGACGAAGCCTCTTCCTCTGAGATGCACGAGCGGTGCCCCTTCCCAGAGCACTTGGAGTCGTGCCGCTTCCGCACCTTCCCCTTCAGCAGCTCGCCAACAAGCCCATTGCCTACAGGGGCTGCCTTTGCAGCGACCTCAGCTCCTGGGGGGATGGGTGCGTTTGCAGCGGGCGCGCCGTTTGCGAGTGCGCCGGTGCCGCCAGCAGCAGCAGCGATGGAGGACGAGGAGATCTACGTGCTCGTCATGGACGGCGATAGCGTGAGTGCCTCCCTCCCTTGCCCTCATTCTCTCCCTCAATCTCGCCCTGGCTCTCGCCCTGACCCCCGCGCTAACTTGCATCTGTCTCCAGCTATTCTGGTTGTTTTCGTCATTCGCATTGCTTTCCCTCAGTTTGCTTGCCTAGCTCCCCTCAGCTGGCACGGTTTCAAGATGGATCTTTCTTGAAATTCTTGTGCGCGTCTCGTGTGTCTCTCCTCTCTTGTTCAGATATCCGTCCGGGAGGTCCCTGCCACGACCACAGTCGCAGCATTCCTAGAGCAGTATGCAGGGGAGGAAAGCTCGTCACAAAGCTTCCCACACGAGAAGCCTGAGAAGCTGAACGCGGGGGGCTCACCAGATACGCTGCTCCTGCGGGAGCTGTGGCAGAAGCAGGACGAGCTGCGCCTCACTCACCCCCACCAGCAGCACGTGGGGCAGCAGCAGGGAGGCGAGCAGCAGGCAGGAGCAGGCAAGGGGCGGCGGATGTCTCTGCGGGTCAACTCAGAGGTGGTAGGGGAGGGCGAGGCTGCGAGTCGCAGGCTGAGGATGGGCGATTTGGTGGAAGTGGTGCTGGACCGTGCTGCTGTCGGTGCTGCTGATTGCGCTACTGCTGGTGGTTGTGGTGGTGCTGTTGCTGTTGGTGGTGCTACTGCTGCTGGTTCTGGGGCTGGTTGTGTGTTGGAAGAGGCTTTACCAGGGGCAGGAGCAGCGTTTGAGGAGGGAGTGACTGGGGAGGCGGTGGTGGAAGAAGGGTTGGAGGAAGGGGGACTGCTTCCCGCGTTTGCCATGCTGCATGAAGAGGACGACGAGGATTGGCTTGTGGTGGCGCATGGCCGTAGCAGCAGCAGCAAGAACAGCTTGGGAGGGACGTTAGCACCCGGGGTCATGGCGGGTGCTTGGTGCTTGTGATGGGATGTGTTGTGGTAAGAGAGGTGAGATGGGAAGTGGAGTCACTTCTCTGTACATATGGAGCTTGTGGGAGTGGTATAGTAGTTTTAGGTCAGATCCAGCAACCGAAATGTAGCTGGTATGTTTGAGATGGGGTGGTAGATAGTGCGCTACATGTGTAGGCACACCTTGTTGGTATAGTAGGTCAATTACTTCCTGTAAATAGAAAGTCGTGGTTGTAACTTTGTGCCAGGTCCTCAGATTAGATTCGTTCCAGCCCACCTTGAACCCTCAGGGCAAATGCAATGGTAAAGTGGTTGACATCCATGGGATGGGGTAAACCTGAACCTGAGTGCTCACCGCATTTCTAAATTCTTTACCGTGTCTACATGACAATGTCTACATTTCTAGCTGAGGTGGTTGCAAAAACTTCAACATTTGAGGTCCCCTGCTAACTAATGTCCCTCATTACTATGCATATGCCCTTATGTGCAATACAGTATCATACTTTCCAGTCACCGTGCACTTCTTTTCAACTAGCACTAGTGCCTACGCTAATTTTGCATTTTGTTTCCTAAATAGTTCTAGTTCACTCTGTATTCACTCGTAACATCACGAACTCGTTGACGAATGTATACCCCACCAACCAACTCCTTCCTTTCCCCCGTGTACAGCTCACCCAACTCTATTGTCCATTTCTGGTCCCCCCCGTTGACTGTTCATCGTCTTTTCGTCCTTCTGAACCCCCCTTCGCGGCTATCTCCGCGAGTGTCGCAACTCATCGCAAGTCACGATTTGAATCGTCTTTGCAGCTTGTTACCGTGTCGATACGCTCTCATGAATTGCAGAAGTGAAGCGGCAACAGGTGGAGGAGAGGGACAAGCACGAGGCAGGGCTAATTTTTCGTTTTTAGAGATCCGGATGCCTCCGGGGCCCCCACGTAAACATACGTAAAAATCCGGGTCCGTAGAAAGGCCACCCTTTTTGGTCCGGATTCTATCAAGGGGTACCCTGACTCAGTGTTTCTCTATGAAACACCCTTTGGCCCATCGAGTCGTAACTGCTGCATAGTACAAGTGAAGGGCATACTTACTGTGAGTGCGAAAACACAAGACAATCGTATAGTTGGCTTACAGCTGTTTCGGAACGCAGATGAGTCTCACTCAGGGATGCGACCAATCCGGCACGAAAGTTTCTAAGGAGCACCCTTATGCATCCGGATGTCTCTGAGATATACCCTTTATGAGTCCGAATGATTCTGAGTTCAGACCCCTCAAAATCCGGATCTCTGACGAGAACATCCGGAATGTCGACGAAATTCCGGATGTGCACCCTGCTACCGTGAGCCCTGGCACGAGGTGATGAGACAAGCAGCCCTCCCTGAGGTGATCACACCTCTGGCTTTGTCACACAGACAGGCTGGCTTGTCCCACAAACAGCCAGCGCTGATTCGTAACCTTGGGAGGATTGTCTCCATTGCTGATTTCCTTCCCACTGGTCGAGAGATCCTGTCGTTGTTGATTGGTCATGTCAGTGAGGTGACTCGCAAATGGCGGCTGGGCAGAAGCGGAATGCGGTTGCTTGCAGCTCCACATATGCTGTGATCGGCCCTAAATCAAATACTCGATGGTGGAGCTCCACAGATTTCCACGTTTTCTCAAGCAGCTCGTTGACAACTCGCCGTTGATGTTCTCCAAAGCTATTCAGGGGGTGTTACATTGCGCGCGGGTCCATTTACAAGGAAATGGACCAGCGAATGCAAGGGGGCACCATTTTAGAGGGATCACTTCCAAAAGTGGTCCCGCTTGGTACCGGGGATCATTTGCGGCGGACCAGCTATGCACAGTGCATTGCAGCTTCGAAAACGAAGTGTTGACGAAAAAATAGTCTACCTGGTCACGCTTGAACAAGATGTCGCAGACAGCAAATACTTTTGGCGAAAAATCAAAACGCATTTTTCGCATGCGATTCCCATCGCCTTGGGTCGCTCTGGAAATGGTCCTGCGTGTCGAGCATCGTTTTCGTACGTGCGCCTCGAACTGTACATGCTGGTCCGTGGGCGGGTGCAAGTCCGGTCCACACCTGGGCCGTTCGCTGGTCCATGCTGGTCCGCGCTGGTCCATGCAAATGCCTCTGGGCCGCAGCGGCCCAGCACGGCCCAGCGTAGGTCTTGCGCACATGGCACACCCCCTCACTTATTCACGTGTAGGTCAGGTGCATCAGACTACTTCACGCGCACTTCCTTCGGTTTCCAGATAATTGTCCAGACGTCTAAACAGTTGCTGATGTTGATACTCGACTATTTCTAGGTTTCTCCAGACGTAAATAAGAAATACTGCATTCTTTCTTGTGTACGCTGCTATCGCAATGACGGCACCTGCGATAACGTCGGGGACTCCAGCATCAGCGAGCACACATGTGCCTTGTTCCGAGTCTATCCATGCTGAGCGACCTGAAGAAAGCATTTTGAGGTGCATCGGGAGTCCAGCATCAGAGAGCAAAGATGACTCGTATTCCGAGCCCTTCCATAGTATGCGACCTCCGTCCTTGGAGCTTCTCTCGGCCGACCTGTGGGAACTGGCGGAAGAAGCAGACGCTGCAGCTACGCCGGCGTCTGTCGACCAGAAATTGGAAACGAATGGCGAAAAGTCAACCAGCCGGTTCTGGTTTCGTCCACGCAAGAAGAACAGCGAGACGGCCTTCTCGTTCCCTCGATCCAGATCGACGAGCTGCCACGATCCTGCGGGTATCAAGCGAAGCGAGGACCTTTTTAGCGATATTTTCGAGCCGAGCAAGAGCCCGAGGAGCAAGACCCTTGTTCCGAACATGAAACTGCTAGAGATCCCTGGCGACGAGGACGATACGGCGTATGAAGATATCGTGTGGGGAACGACTGGTAAAGGCGTTTCGGACGGAGCTCTGCGGTTCGTGAATAGGGTGAACGCCTCTAAATCTTCTGAAAACGAATCTGTTTCTTCTGTACGTATGTTTCCTGAGGGCCAGTGGACGTCCAATCTACCACCGTCACCGTCATTTATGAGATTGCGTAGCTTCGGAAGGAAACGTACAGGAGCGGAAGCATCGATTTCTTTCCGGATCTCTCCATTGTCGCCTGGATCCGCAATTTCGGGGACTCCGAAAGACGTGTCCACCAGTGAGCTGCGTGGTCTAAACACTGAAGGGGCCTATTCAGCAGCCGCTCCTTGCAACCGGCGGGACAGACGAAAATGGAAAAGCTTTGATGATCTATCTGGCTGGGCGGATGGCAGCGGAGATCGGCGGTTTGCGGAGAATGCGGAGGCAGGTTTGCACGCAAGCACAGATGTTTGTGTGCCTGCCAGGGAGCTGACTGTGATGGAGGAAGAGGAAGGCGAAATCACCCCTTTAACACCTGTGAGATTGCCAGCAGGGAGGGGTTTCTGCACTCCACGTCGCAGACAAAGAAGTGGTAGTATAGACCTGACCTCGCCCATCAGCCCAAAGGTTACCTACTTTTCTTTTGAGAAGCATCGTCAGGTTGTGATGGAGCAAGCAGCCAAAATGGAGCAGCAGAGTTAGGGTTGTTGAGATGTGTTACTAGCCCTAGAGGTTCAAGATCAATACACACAAACTGCTGCTGCCGCTGTATTGTGAATATGGTATTCTGGAGTGACAAAGGGTTTGGACGGGAGTCGTCAACCTAAACAATATCTCACCAGTCTGGCAAATTCTGTGCAAAACAAGTCCAATATAGACAGGAAAAAAACATCATTCCACTCTACACTCCATGTAGATATGGTAGTAAGAACAAAAGGCCTGAGCAAAAGCTCAAAGAAATAGCAAGCTATTGAACCTACACAACTTCACACTTGCAGCAGTAGAGCCTGAACCCATCATGTAAAATCCTGAAATGCCCAGGCATAAGGCGGGGACTTCAACCCTCAAAATAGCCCCCCTTATTCAGAGCTCTGTCAAGCCTCCCTGTCACCGCTGGCGCTTCCCATCACACAAGCGTTTGTCGGGACAAGCACAGCCTGCTGGCTGCACTCCAGTCGTTGCACCCTCCCCCTCCAAAGATCATGATTCATGAGCACTTTCTGAAGCCGTTCAAAGAAATACGTACCACACCCTAAGAGTACTTCCTGAGGTGAGGAGAGTCCAGGGTTCCCCGCCGCCACATCGTTTTCCAGTGCAACAGGATACGAGGTATTCCTCGCTTCTGCCAAAAAAAGGGCGACTGCGCGCCTTGTTTCACGCTGCACTCTGAAGACTTCAATGCTGATTCTCCTCCACTAGAATTATTCCGCAAGCTCCTCAATTCGTTGGTAGAATTTCCAAATCATCCAGTCTCTGTTGCCAGCATGAGCGAAATTCCAGACACTCGCCTGGTCCTTGAAAGGTCCACGTCAGACGAGCGGCGAGGAGCCACTCTGGCGAAGGGAGATTCTGCGTTGCTGTTACTGACTGGGGGACTGTGGACATAGAAATTGACGTGTGCCGGGAGTTGCTGTGCGGCTTCAGATGAAGACCTGAATAGGTCACGCTTTAGAGGAGGGAGTGTTGCGTTAGTCCTGGCGCCAACGCTACGTGATGATTCTGACGCCGATTTTCTCCACATAGCTGCAGCGCTGCCCGCGCGAGATTGTAATTCGGTTGAGTCACGGTTATCGCTGGCGCAATGAGTCGCGAGTGAAACGGAGGACGAAGGCGTTCGCGTATCAGCAATAGGCCATGCTCCGCCGTGAGATGCTAAGTAGCGCGCGAGCATCATAGTCTCGTCCACCTCGTCTATGGAAGCCATGATTCGTTTGTGAAGCAAAGTCAACAAACCACTAGAACTTCCCTTATTTCATGTAAGACACCTAGTAAACCCTATGCGTAAACGATGAAGAGACCTGACGAGACGACTACGTTAGGATGCAATGGCCGACCAACCGACGACGGTGCTTCATCGACCAAATGGGAGGCGCTCATTTTGACAACATACACAACGGCGTTGTTCGCCAGCACTTCTAACAACAAAAATGACGGGATCAGGAAGG